GATTAATAAAAAAAAATATATATAAAAATAATAAAAAATTAAATAAAGATTTAATTATATAAGATTAAATATTGAATTGTATTATTGTAATGAATTGTAATACAATTGAGCCTTCGCTAAGCCCCGCCCTTTTTAGTTACTGTTGCTACGCCTGTCAAGCTTTCGGGGATGGCATGTCTATTACATTATGAAACTTAACCCTGCTTTTTTACGTCCCACACACAGCTTGATCCACTCTGGCATTTCTCCTCTTGGGTTTTAGGTTTTGGAAAGGGAAAAAAATTCCACCACCCTGACCAAACTTTTAGGATACCGGCTGTCAGATTTGCACAATCCATATGCACATCACTTTGGCTTGTAAAGGCTTGACAGACCTCCTGCGCATAGCTACGGTTGCTAAGCCACGACTGGTTGGCAGTTTTCAGATGTGGCCAAGCGAACATGAAGGAGTTGTGTGAAACCCAATTTTTTTTACAGTGTAAAGTCAAAATATATACAAGATTAATTGATTTTGATTGACAGTAGAGTCCAAAATAAAACACAGAAAAAATATGTAATACAGTAAATTGAACCCTTTTTGAATTCTAAGGGTGCTTTCACACCTACACTTTTGTTTCGGAACATATCTCGATTGCCCAGTTAGCGGGGTTTGTTTGGCATATGTGAACAGGGCAATCGCGCTCTGTTCCGCGCCAAAGTAATCGCTCCGAGATCGCTTGAATGAGGTGGTCTCGGCTCAATTGAAACGAACCCTGGAGCGGTTTGATTGCAGTGAGAAAGCGATCCGATCCGAGCGCGGTTATATCACAGTGTTTTATGGATATGTAATAGGCTTACGGCTATATGAAGAGAGAATTATGAGTAGGGCGGGAAGTTTCGCGAGTCTCCGGATGCCCACAAACGAGTGATGATCTCCCGGTAATCACGCGTCTCCCTCCCGGTCCTAGGCATCGTCGCGCACCCTTCTCTTTACAATGTGAAAGCGAACCGCTCCAAGAGCAAAGAGCAACAATGTAACAATTGTAATCTCTGTTTCAGAACAACTGAATCGATTCACAGGTGTGAAAGAACCCTAAAAGAATTTTGGGGGTTTATAAAAAATGAAACAAATAAAAAAGGATTTTGACATAAGCAGATAGTAGAACTATTTCACTACTGTACTTAAGTACTAAAAGACTGTATCTGTACTCTACTGTATTGTTTTTTCTCATACTTCCACTTTTACTTCAGTAAATATTTTTGATTAGTTCAGACGATCAAAGAAGACAGCGCTGCCTGCCTGCATCTAGAGCACTTTAGTTTGTTTTCAACATGAAAAACTTAGAACTTGCACCTTCAACTCCTTCACTTTCAGCTGTTTGTGGCGATGAGGAATTTTTGCATTGGACTATTCGTGTTGAATGAAGTGCATACTCTGCCTCCCGAAAGATTGCGAAAGAATGGCCTTCAAAAATTAACAGTCGAATTTGAAGAAACATATCAAGGCAAGTTAAAAATAATATAATACACAAAATGCAACAGTTTGAGCTATCTGTAAGCTCTAGTTAAGTTAACTAATGTTAGCTACCCACGGTTCTTAACATGCTGCGATGTTCACGTAATGTTAACTAGCTAGCTATCATAAAGGCTGTTTCATGCTAAATGGTGTTTTTGACCCATCATATAAATCGTAAACCGCAAACCTTGTTTCTTTTCATTCTGCTTAATCACGTACCCTAAAGAAGATATTTAAAATAAACAAAACAATATGATGTCTTTTGACTGCCTTCTTTAATAACTGCATAACACAATACTTTTACTTTCAGTATTTAAAAATATTTATACTTGCAATACTTAAGTAAAAAAATGTTGAATACTTTAGTACTTCCACTTAAGTATGGTGTTTAAAGAGCACTTCAACTTCTACTTAAGTCAATTTTTTGGTAGAGCACTTGTACTTTTACTCAAGTCTGGGTTTCTAGTACTTTATACATCTCTAGGCGTGAGTCGCTTTTGATCATTTTATTCAGAAATACCCCAAAATAGCTTAAAATAGCTCATTAAATAGCTCATTTACAAGCATTAGAAACGTCTATTCCTAAAAATATAGTTCTGTTTTTATCATGTTACCTATTTTTATTGATTAGTATTCTGGTTATTATTAACTTTATATCAGATTAACTATAAACCTACTATTTCGGCCTTCATGGATATAGCCAAGCTTTTTAAATTTCCTCTAAAACCACAACAAGCTCTTTCTTGTCAATTGATTAGTCTGGCTAGCGAGTGCCAGCACAGCTCTCCCCTGAAGTTCAGCCAGACTACTTTGTTAGCATTAGCGTACGCCTGCTAATAAAAGTTTCAGCGTGGCTCTTTTCGGCCAAGTGAGTGTCCCCTTTTGCTCTGGCGGAATCCACTGAAGCGCTGGGCTTGGAGAACCACGGTGTGTTGCCTCAGAAACCTCCAGGCGATGGGTCAGCAGGACCTGTGGAATGCCCGGCTTGGGTTTCCGGCTATTGTGCTCGACCGACACACTGGAGGTGAATAGCCTGACATTCCTCTGATGCCCCCTCCCCTCCAAAACACATACATGTGACACTCTCTCAGGACATTTATAAGGACTGTTGTACTGTTACCTTATTCTGATTAAGACAATGTTATGATTGAGGGTTAGATCTTTAACATAACATGATTAAGATTGTTTACATGAGGTAAATCTTGATGTAGTTCAGTGGTTCCCAACCTTTTTTTTTTGCCAGAGACCCACTTTTCCCCTGGAAAATATTGTAATGCCCCCCTCCACATTTAATGATATTATCACTCATATAAGTTTGCAGTACTGATGACAAAAAATGTTGTTTTCAAGCAAACGGTATGTTTCTTACTATATCTAAATATGTTTATGCACAAATGATAGCCTAATGTAAAATGTAAAAGCAAAACATCAGCAGGCAGTTCAGTTTCAGTAACTGAAAAACGTAAGCCTTTTGCCATGAAGTTAGCCCCATTTGAAATTCAGTAACAAAAATATCAGTATTCACACTGGTATATAAAGGTAAAAAAAATAATGTAGGCTATTAGAATTTGATGCTTGCATGTTATTTGTTATGCTCTATCTCAGTGGTTTTTTAATTTTTTTTTCATCAAGTACCACCTCGGAATAAATGGTCTCTCCTTGTACCACCATAATGACCAGTATTGAAATACAGTAGCTTATAGGCCCAATAAAACATACAGGATATGTATAGGCCTCAGCTCTGCACAGTTCCAAAACAAGGCAGTTTATTTTCTATTATTAAGAAAATGTATTATTGTCAGCCACTTTAAACATTGTAAATATATTTATTTAAACATTATAAACATAAACATTAACACTGTACTGTGTTTAAAGGTAAAAACAAACAAAATAAAATGTCAAATGTTTGAATTAAAATGTGCTTATAAAAATTCAAGTATGTCATCTTTTTCAAAAAAAAAAAATCATTTTTGATCAATTTTGAAATATATGTTGCATCTACATATGACAAATTTGATTCCTCTGTGTTTGAGAACCACTGCTCTATCTATTAAGGTGAGGATTGCTGCAAGGCGAATCAGTGAGGCTCTGTCTTTTTTTTGGAGGACGGATTGCAAATTTGTCCATTTTTGGTCAGCTAGGGCAGTGGTCCTCAACCTTTTTATCACCGCGGACAATTGACAGTTTTATAGTGAACGGTTGGGGTGGGGGATTTGTGTTTCTATGTTGCGTAGGTTGTAGGTTGCTAGGTGACCATCAACCGTTTTCCCAGAAGATGACAAGCTGACAAAACATTGCTGCCAATCTGATACAAGTTTTAGTTATGGAGAAAATTACAAAGCGCTGCAGTGTTTGTGTGTTCTGTGTTTGTCTGAGAAAACTAATCTTACCGAAATATGAATACTCCATTCAAGCTGAAGCTAATCGGTTAATTCTTGTCACGTGACTCACGGTCTTTGGAGCGAGGGCGTCACTGTGCTTGTGCGTGCAACCCGCATATTTACATCGGAAACAATTTCCTCTGAAGTGATTATAAATACAGAAATCTGGCATGCAATGGCGCACACACACACACCAATAGACCAAGTCTATTTTTTAAATGTATGTTAGTGCTGTAAATGAGCTAGAAAGTTTAACCTGGTGTTATAAAATAAATCTGCTGCATCTGACTATTGCTGTGTTTTCAATATAATGGAATTACCCCAGAGGTCGCAATACAATAGAACCGGTCACTATAAGCTATTATAGTTTCTACATAGTATATAGTAACTATAAACGACAATTTTTTTCTCTTTAGTAGGTTATGGATAAAATAAGGTAATTATTATAGTTTAAAAAAAATAAATAGATTTTTGGAAATCACCAGGCAAGCCCCTTCATTGTCCCGTGACCCCTCGGGGATCACGGCCCCAACTCTTAGAACCACTGGTCTAGTTGAGTAATGGTTAACCTTTTATTTCATTTACATAGTGAGGATGAATATATACAGTATGCTGTGTTAGATTTTATTATATTTTTTAGTTTATATAACTGAAAACTATTGTTAGGTACATGAAAAACCCGAAAAGCTTCTTATTTTAGCATTATCTTTGCTATATTGTATGGATGTTGTTTTGTATTTTGCTTGTAGAGTTTATTTTATTCTTATATGACAGCACTTTTTTACTGAACATGTCATATACTGAACCGCACCGAAACCATGAGAAGTTTATATTGTTGCACCTCTAATCCATACTAAGAATATCCTGGAACATCCATACGAAACGTAAATGGAATATTCTAAAAGCAACTCATGTAATCACTTTATTCAAAATATAAATTATTATTATATAGTATTATTCAGAATAAGGTAAATAGTTTGATTACTGATGTGCATTTCATTTATACACAGCTACTGTGTGACATCCAGCAGAAAACAGGCATAAAGGTTGCAGGTGCAACAACACGCCGGCTTCTCTCTGATTGGTGGTTGACTGACAGTTGGATTGTCTTCTTGATTTTGCAGGCAGACTAAGCCTCTGACTTTTGCCGACTGTATTGGAGATGAGCTGCCTGTGGGATGGGAGGAGGCCTACGACCCCCACGTCGGAGCCTATTATGTCGACCACAACACCAGTAAGTTAAGAAAGATGCGGACCACCTTATGGATAATTGGAATATAGCATGTCTTCTTTTTGATTCTCAGATAAAATGACATATCACATCTGACACAAATAATGGCTGGATTAAAGTTCAGTCAGTAGGCCTTATTCTAACTTAAATACACTTCTGTGTCAATTATTTTGTGCTGATGTCCAGTGTTTTTTAAATTATTTGATTTTATTTATCCGATTTTACATTTTTTTATTAAAGTTTATTTATTAATCTATTTAATTTTATTTTGTTTTATTAAATTCTATTTAATTATTGTATTTTTTATTTTATAAAATTTGCACGTTTATTACATCTAATTTAATAAATTTTTTTATTTCATTGCATCTATTTATCTATTTATTTTATTTAGTTTTATAAAATTTTATTTAACTACATTATTACTTTATTTTCTATTTTATTTTAATACATTTTATTACATTTTATTTTTAATTTTATTTATTAATCTATTCAATTTTGATTTGTTTTAATATACTTTATTTAATTAAATTTAAATTTTAATTCAATTTAATTTTGTTTTATCAAATTAAATTTTATAAAATTTTATTTATTAATCTGTTTAATTTTATTTAGTTTTATTACATTTTATTTAATTACATTTTTATTTTCTATTTTATTTAATTACATTTTATTAAAATTAAAATTTATTGTATAAATTAATCTATTGGATTTTATTTTGTTTTATTAAATTTTATTTAATTACATTTTTATTTAATTTAAATTTTTATTTTTATAAATATTATTTATTTTCTTATTTTTATTTAATTTTATTTTATTTATTAATCTATTTAATTTGATTTTGTTTTATTACATTTTTTAAATTACATTTGTATTTATTTTTTATTTTATTTGCTGACAAAGTTGAACACTGCACATACTTTATAATTGCTGTTTTAGATATTTATATGCTTATATTATAGTTTATTTAGACCATTTGGAAATACCAAGTTTAAAAATTCTGCATATATGATTTCAAAATAAATAAAAAAATCTCTAAAGATGAAAATCTTTATTGTCAGTTTTGTCACCTTATTGTGATTTTGTTAATTGAAAGTAACAAAATGTACTACTAAAAATGCCCAAATATAAATGCTTTATAAGCTCCAAATCAGCATGTTTGAATCATTTTTGAAGGATTAGGGGACACTGAAGGCCGGAGTTATTAAAAATTAAGCTTTGACTGTAGATTACATTTTAAAATAGGCAAGTTTTTTGAATTTTTATCACTATTTTTTTATATTTGCAACCCTGCTAAGCATAATTGAGTATGTTTAATGTTCATCCATTTTTCAGTGAATATAGCCGATATATTTTGGTGCATGTGAATAAAACAGTTTTATTAAACAGTTATATTCATTAAAATAAGAGTTTAATCACTTAACATCCTCAGGAATAAAAGATAATACATTTAGATCCTGAAAGTTATTGCAAAAAAAAGGCAAACTCCAAAATGTCAACTAAATTGTATATATTTATGTTTCTCTTGATTTTTTTTTTCCAGCTAATTAAAATATATTTAATGTTTTTCTCCAACATTAATGTAGACGTACACATATTTGGACTGTGATCTTAAGTTTTTTGGTTCGATTAGTTCCAGTTTTGTCTTTAGTACTGACTAATATAAATAAACTATTGCAAAGCTTACTATGAAAGATATTCCTTTAAAAGAGAGATCTCTGAGGCCTGTACTTATTTATGCTAAACAGTCTATTATTGTAATTAATTCTGTTTTTATATGTGATGGATTTTATGATATGATATGTTTTATGATATGTTTTTTTTATTATTTTGGATTACACTGTGATTCTGTAATAAAGTTTGGTATGATATGATAATTTCTCTAATTTGGACATTAATTTCTCCTTCCCAGAAAGCACTCAGTTGGAGGACCCGCGGGCTCAGTGGCAGCGGGAACAGGAGCTTATGTTGCACGATTATCTGAATGTGGTTCAGGAAGCACTGAGTGCCCAAAAGGAGATCTACCAGGTCAAAGAGCAGAGACTTCGCCTGGCCCAGCAGGAATATCGGCAGCTAAATGATGCTTGGCGGGACAAGTCTTCCTCACAGACTAGCTGTAAGATTTATGACTCCATACAAGTCTATGCCATAAATGTTGTATCAAATCTGTTGATGCGGCTCTTAAATAGGCCACAATTAAAGGGATAGTTCACCCTAAATGTAAACTTCACCATTTACTCACCCCAAAGTGTTTCCAAATTGATCACTTTCTTCTGTTTTTCTGTTGATCAATGATAGTAACCTATAGCCTTTGACTTTAATAGAAGGAAAAATATATACTGTGGAAGTCAATAGCCTTTTTTTACACATGCAGAACTTTCCGGAAAATAACCGGCAATTTTTCTGGAAAAGGATCATGTGTGAACAGGCCTTTTTTGTAAAGCTTCACCTCATGTAACTTCATCTTCCATTGTTAAATGAATTTGATAAGAAGTGTGCAATATTTATGCAGGAATGTAACTGATATGCTGCAACAGCCCCTTTAAGTACGAGATCAATGTAGCAAATGTTCACGCTCTCGCCCCCAGAGCTGAAGGGAGACTGCCTTCAGTGTGAACGCACAGTAAGAGTCACCATGTAAACAGTGATTTTTGATTACCTTAATTCGACTAAAGTCATAATTGAACTAAACAGAAATGCAATTAAGACATGTGGAGTTTGCATATATTAGTGGCATTATTGAAGTAAACACCGCAATCAAACTATAACCATCGTGTAGGACTTTTCACCATATTTTCCGACAAGACAAGCACACACACACATTGTGTAATGAGTTTTTTCTTTCCATTTGGCGTTATTAAATTCCATAACACTCTCATTAGTTTTTATGCTGTGTCCACACTAGACGCGGAATGCATGGATAAATTGCGCTATTCGTGCGAAGATAGTGCGCACCAAAAGCGGACCAAAAAAGCGTACCGAGACCTACTTGAAGAAGTGGTCTCGGTACGCTTTCAAACGAACCCTGGAGCGGTTCGTTTGTGGTGAGAATATACAAAAAGTACTACGCGTTTTGGACTAATTCAGCTGCCGTAGGCCGATGCGCTTTGCATTATGGGATATGGAGGAAAAATATTTGTTGAAAGCGCTTTACCAAGAGAGAGAGAGTGGGGAAAACATTACCTGATGGATCGTTGGTAAAATTTCCGCAAGATGAGCATGTCGCAGTTTAGCTAAATTGATTCACGTCTCCTCCTGAAGTGACGAGCGATGCATTAAACACTGTTTTCCAGCCGCGGCCACGCTTAATTTTTGTAATGTATAGTTTGTCTAAAGCAGGAATACAATCAGCCAGCACAGTCGTCCCTCCAGAGTAAAAGGTTTTGTTTACCTGCGGGAGTTCATTGGCATTTTCCCGCACGTGAATTCTGACCAATCAATAAAAAGTTTAGGAAATATGTTCAACAACATCTGGCCAATGAGAGATGTGGATGTTGTCAGATGACTGCATTTTGGTTAGTTTCAACTGGTTCAGACCAAAGCCAGCAGTGTGGTGTAAAACGACCCAAAGATGGCAGAAAATGCAACAATGTATCATTTATTACCCATGGTCCGGACCAATTGAAGCGAACTACAGATGTGAAAGCACCCATTCGTGCGTCAAATTCATTTCAGAACAGACGCGGATTCACTTGATGGGCAGGGCTTCTGTCTGCCATGTAACTCTAGCTTCGTTTCTAAATGGTTAAAATGAATTTTAATCAGAAAATAACAGTGTTTATGTGCTTTATGAAGGCTGAAAAACAGTGTTGATACATTTAGGGCAGTGTCTGAGTTCACTAGATCCTTTCAGAGGTGCATCCAGCTCTGTGAGCTCATAAACTCTTCCAGAAACTTAACCTGGATGGCGGAGGCTTTTAGCAATGCTTCTGACTGAGCCTAGCCCAGTTTGATGAACTGTTGTCGGTGTCAACTGGAGGATTTCCCCTGGGACACCATTAACAGGTGCTACATCACAGTTACGCCCACACAAGAGCAAGCTCCTGATTAGTTAACGTGGCGCTAATGTCCGCTTAAGTTCAGATTTTCGAACTCGAGCGATTTGCTTGTTAAGCGTAACAGGCGCGTCAAATGCGCAAAACACTCAATTCACACCACGCCATTCGTGCATATCATTCCATTTGTGCATATCATGCCATTCGTGGTGCTTAATTTGCGTCATTCGCGCATATCGCACCGCATAATGTCTATTTGAGAGTTTGCATTGACTTAACATTACTCCTTATTTGCATCTAATACCTCAGTTTGTCTCGGGGGCATCAATGAAATGTTCATATGTAAATGTAAAACTGCCGAACTATAGTCAAAGTCACCCAAAATTACAATAAACTCTTACTTGAAAGCACTTCACGTAAACACCTTAATTATATTATTGCCTATTGTTACGGCCCAAACTCAAAACTGGCTCGAATAACAACAACATTCAAGGTTTGAGCCGAACATATGGAAGACAATGACGTTTGAATTGTTAAATTGACGTTCCGTCAATATGTTTAATTTTCCATAAATCATAAGTTTTCAAAAAAGACAGAACATTAACAAAAATCAAGTAGACAGGTAGGGCAGCTAAGGTAAACAGGTCTCTGACTAAACTGTTTTAAATGGACAGATATTACCTAAACTCCCGTGAAAGGAATAAAAATAGGTGAGTCTTCCGGGCCACTGCTTACCTTCGCTAAACTAAATAAATAACAAAACGTGACTATGAAAAATAAACCCCTACCTGCTACAAAGCAAAGTATCAAAATAAACAAACTAGCTAACACATTACGAACTAAGAATCAAAAAGATTAACAGGAACAAAACACTAAATGGAGCGGCATCTGGATGAATGATCGCCTGAGCGCACGCCACCACCGAGCTGAGGGAGGGCGAGAGACTGCAAGACAGAAAGAGAGACAGAGACGCCATTGCGGTCAGCCTTATATAGTGGGAATCCCCAGTGACGTCACGGGCATCATCCAATCCTGGATAAGCTGGGTGAAACACTCCTAGAACTCGATCGCAAGCACAAACCGACAATAAATAAATAGATTAAAGAACACAGACCCACGTAACATTATTAAGGCAAACAACTAAATTGCTGATGTTCATGTAAACCTAGTCATTAGTGTCTTTTAAGTAAGTGAAAGATGCAGAAGGGCATCATGCTGATTTGATTCAGAAGGGCTCTTTTTTGTTACACGGATTACCGGTTTTACTTTCATACACCGTTAGCTATTTTTAAATTCAATCTAGTAAACAGATAAAAATCGTCATCATAATTTTCTCGAGTGCACTCCTCAATGTCTCATGCCCCCCTTAATAGGTGCTGAAGCCCCCCTGGTGGGGCGCACCTCACAGTTAAAAAACCCCTGTTCTAGGCCGATATGGCGAGTAACTACACTCCACCATTCCTGCATAATAATCAACTTTTCTTCAGTACCATGGCTGCAGGAGGCACAATGATATTACTTTACATAAAAAAAAAACAATTCTAGTGCTGTTCAATGTATTTATATATTTTAATTATATATATATACAGGGCTCAACAATAAGGACTGCCCGATGGCCCGGGGCCAGCGTGTGAGATGCTCGGGACAGTAGACAGGATCGTTACTGGCCCGATCGGGCCACTAATGCCCTGTCACTAAAGTTTAATTTGCCTGTGACTATTTGTCAATCGCGTGCAAATACAGTCAGAATACAGAAAGCATTTGTGTTTTTAAGCCTTCAAATGCTACCTTCTCGGTTCCTCTTATCTGATTGGATGTTGTGAGCATGTTATTTTTTTTTCCGTAACAACCAGTACAGCTAAGAGACAGCAACATGGCGGCAACGTCAGGTGATGATGCTAAAGGAAAACATTTGTCTCTAACGTCTTGGAAGCAGACATTTACGAGGGTACACCATGACTAAAAAAAAATTAAGTGATGTTTTGTACAGTTTGCCGCTGGTTTGGCAGGTCAGCCATCTTTTGTTTTGCAATAAAATACCTGCACATTTTGCTACTTTTGTTTGCAAAAAACTTTAATAAATTTTTTTGAATATTTAAATTCTAGATTTACAAACATTTTGACATTTTTTTTTTTATTTGTGGCTAAGAAATAGCTATTAACTTTTTTTTGGTGGGGCCAGTGACAATATTGGCAGGGCAAGTAAAAATCTGAACCACTGGTCCGATCGGGCCAGTAGAAAAAATCCTTAGCGTTGAACCCTGTATATATACATATATATATATACATATATATATATATATATATATATATACATATATACACACACACACACACACACACACACACACACACACACACACACACACATACATACATACATACATACATACATACATATATATATATATATATATATATATATATATATATATATATATATATATATATATATATGTATGTATGTATATATATATATATATTTATATATATATATATATATATATATATATATATATATATTGCTGTCATTTTTTTGATATTGCTGAACATTGCTGTCATTTTTTTGATATTACAAATAGAAAAGTGTTAAGATTAAGTTTATACAAGTTGATAAGCATGTTCAAAAAATCAGTGAGCTGTCATAATTATACCCGTAAATAATATCTAAAGATAAGATGGCGTGAGCTGCATGTTTTAGTGATGAGGTAACAAGCTTGTATTCACTTCAAAATATTTGTGCGGCCCGACCAGCAATGATCTCACTCTTCAAGCATTTGTGCAAGCAAAAACTCTTTATTTCGAATGAAACCTCATTATAATGGATGTAGATTTGTGACACAATTCTGTCGCGTTATTATACATCAGTGTGGAATTCAAAAGCTACGCCAAGTGGTTATACAGATAAGATAAAGCCTTTGAACTCTTATCTTCCCTACAGTAAATTCCAGATCCTCATCAAGCAGTAAATATGACCCTGAAATCCTCAAAGCAGAGATTGTTACAGCAAAAAGCCGGGTAAGAAGCTCTTCTACATATCACAAGCCTTTTATCGTTCGCTGTGAATGTTATCTTGTTTATGCAAGACACCAATTGGGTGTAAATTTTGCTGCAAGGATTTGGGACGTGATGACAGGCAGCGAGATTACGCTTAAAACCCAAATGTAATTACACAAGTGTCTCATTGATTCATCCGCTGGCTTTCTCTCTGTTGCTGTCTTTTGTTCAGGTAAATAAGCTGAAGAGAGATTTGGCCTATATGAAGCAAGAACTGCATTATAAGGAGCAAGGCTTTGAGACGTTGAAAGAGTAAGTGTAACCTGACCTATATTGCACGATCACGTTCCAGACAACCGATCGCTTCCTTGTTCAAATGCATTCCAGTCTGAAAACACCTCACCTTTGTGCAAGACAAAAAAACCTATCAACTTATCTCTTGGCATTTTATGAGCTCACTGGCATTTTATTGTGATGGAGCAAGTTGATGTTGACAAGTCTGTTGTTGTAAAAATGGATATTTTTACTGTTATAGAGCACCACATGCACCTCAGTGTAAATCTATTTATGGTTCATATTTGTTACTCTTAAAACTCTTAAATATTTGTTACTTTGAAAACTCTTAAATATTTGTTACTCTTAAATATTTGTTACTCTTAAAACTCTTAAATATTTGTTACTCTTAAAACTTAAATATTTGTTACTCTTAAAACTTAAATATTTGTTACTCTGAAAACTCTTAAATATTTTTTACTCTTAAAACTCTTAAATATTTGTTACTCTAAAAACTCTTAAATATTTGTTACTCTTAAAACTCTTAAATATTTGTTACTCTTAAAACTCTTAAATATTTGTTACTCTTAAAACTCTTGAATATGTGTTACTCTTAAAACTCTTAAATATTTGTTACTCTTAAAACTCTTGAATATTTGTTACTCTTAAAACTCTTAAATATTTGTTACTCTTAAAACTCTTAAATATTTGTTACTCTTAAAACTCTTAAATATTTGTTACTCTTAAAACTTAAATATTTGTTACTCTTAAAACTTAAATATTTGTTACTCTGAAAACTCTTAAATATTTGTTACTCTTAAAACTTAAATATTTGTTACTCTTAAAACTTAAATATTTGTTACTCTTAAAACTCTTAAATATTTGTTACTCTTAAAACTCTTAAATATTTGTTACTCTTAAAACTCTTAAATATTTGTTACTCTTAAAACTCTTAAATATTTGTTACTCTTAAAACTTAAATATTTGTTACTCTTAAAACTTAAATATTTGTTACTCTGAAAACTCTTAAATATTTTTTACTCTTAAAACTCTTAAATATTTGTTACTCTAAAAACTCTTAAATATTTGTTACTCTTAAAACTCTTAAATATTTGTTACTCTTAAAACTCTTAAATATTTGTTACTCTTAAAACTCTTGAATATGTGTTACTCTTAAAACTCTTAAATATTTGTTACTCTTAAAACTCTTAAATATTTGTTACTCTTAAAACTCTTAAATATTTGTTACTCTTAAAACTCTTGAATATTTGTTACTCTTAAAACTCTTAAATATTTGTTACTCTCAAAACTCTTGAATATTTGTTACTCTTAAAACTCTTGAATATTTTTTACTCTTAAAACTCTTAAATATTTGTTACTCTAAAAACTCTTAAATATTTGTTACTCTTAAAACTCTTAAATATTTGTTACTCTTAAAACTCTTAAATATTTGTTACTCTTAAAACTCTTGAATATTTGTTACTCTTAAAACTCTTAAATATTTGTTACTCTTAAAACTTAAATATTTGTTACTCTTAAAACTTAAATATTTGTTACTCTGAAAACTCTTAAATATGTTTTACTCTTAAAACTCTTAAATATTTGTTACTCTAAAAACTCTTAAATATTTGTTACTCTTAAAACTCTTAAATATTTGTTACTCTTAAAACTCTTAAATATTTGTTACTCTTAAAACTCTTGAATATGTGTTACTCTTAAAACTCTTAAATATTTGTTACTCTTAAAACTCTTAAATATTTGTTACTCTTAAAACTCTTAAATATTTGTTACTCTTAAAACTCTTGAATATTTGTTACTCTTAAAACTCTTAAATATTTGTTACTCTTAAAACTCTTGAATATTTGTTACTCTTAAAACTCTTGAATATTTGTTACTCTTAAAACTCTTGAATATTTGTTACTTTGAAAACTCTTAAATATTTGTTACTCTTAAAACTCTTGAATATTTGTTACTCTTAAAACTCTTAAATATTTGTTACTCTTAAAACTCTTGAATATTTGTTACTCTTAAAACTCTTAAATATTTGTTACTCTTAAAACTCTTAAATATTTGTTACTCCTTAAAACTCTTGAATATTTGTTACTCTTAAAACTCTTGAATATTTGTTACTCTGAAAACTCTTAAATATTTGTTACTCTTAAAACTCTTAAATATTTGTTACTCCTTAAAACTCTTGAATATTTGTTACTCTTAAAACTCTTGAATATTTGTTACTCTTAAAACTTAAATATTTGTTACTCTTAAAACTTAAATATTTGTTACTCTGAAAACTCTTAAATATTTTTTACTCTTAAAACTCTTAAATATTTGTTACTCTAAAAAATCTTAAATATTTGTTACTCTTAAAACTCTTAAATATTTGTTACTCTTAAAACTCTTAAATATTTGTTACTCTTAAAACTCTTGAATATTTGTTACTCTTAAAACTCTTAAATATTTGTTACTCTTAAAACTCTTACATATTTGTTACTCTGAAAACTCTTGAATATTTGTTACTCTTAAAACTCTTAAATATTTGTTACTTTTAAAACTCTTAAATATTTGTTACTCTTAAAACTCTTGAATATTTGTTACTCTTAAAACTCTTAAATATTTGTTACTCTTAAAACTCTTAAATATTTGTTACTCTTAAAACTCTTGAATATTTGTTACTCTGAAAACTCTTGAATATTTGTTACTCTTAAAACTCTTAAATATTTGTTACTTTTAAAACTCTTAAATATTTGTTACTCTTAAAACTCTTGAATATTTGTTACTCTTAAAACTCTTAAATATTTGTTACTCTTAAAACTCTTACATATTTGTTACTCTGAAAACTCTTAAATATTTGTTACTCTTAAATATTTGTTACTCTTAAAACTCTTACATATTTGTTACTCTGAAAACTCTTAAATATTTGTTACTCTTAAATATTTGTTACTCTTAAAACTCTTAAATATTTGTTATTCTTAAAACTCTTACATATTTGTTACTCTGAAAACTCTTAAATATTTGTTACTCTTAAATATTTGTTACTCTTAAAACTCTTAAATATTTGTTACTCTTAAATATTTGTTACTCTTAAAACGCTTAAATATTTGTTACTCTTAAAACTCTTAAATATTTGTTACTCTTAAATATTTGTTACTCTTAAAACGCTTAAATATTTGTTACTCTTAAAACTCTTAAATATTTGTTACTCTTAAAACGCTTAAATATTTGTTACTCTTAAAACGCTTAAATATTTGTTACTCTTAAAACTCTTAAATATTTGTTACTCTTAAAACGCTTAAATATTTGTTACTCTTAAATATTTGTTACTCTTAAAACGCTTAAATATTTGTTACTCTTAAAACGCTTAAATATTTGTTACTCTTAAAACTCTTAAATATTTGTTACTCTTAAAACTCTCAAATATTTTTTATTCTTAAAACTCTTAAATATTTGTTACTCCTAAAACTCTTAAATATTTGTTTCTCTTAAAACTCTTAAATATTTGTTTCTCTTAAAACTCTTAAATATTTGTTACTCTTAAAACTCTTAAATATTTGTTACTCTGAAAACTCTTAAATATTTGTTACTCTTAAAACTCTTGAATATTTGTTACTCTTAAAACTCTTAAATATTTGTTAATCTTAAATCTGACTGGTTGATGGGTTGTCAGAACAAGTAGTTGGCGTTTTAACAAATGCATATTTGTTTTAAAATGCAGATGAAGAGTTTAGATGCAAAACCCTCTTAATCCATCAGATCTGTTTTCTTGTAAATGAGCATTTTCTATCAGGTTCCTATAATTAGGTTCAGAAGTTTTATTTAATACAAAATGAAATGTTATTAGCTATTAAATAAAATAACTTTTTTTCAAAAATGTCACTTTAGACAATTCTTTGGTTTTTAACAAGGTACAGGGCTCGACTGTTTTGGCCGCATATACGCCCGAAATTTTATCTATGCGACCTCAAAATATATTTGGGAGCATTTGTGCGAGTGCATAAAATTGTTGTCGTGCAACCAGTTTTCACAGCAAAATGTTCTCACCACATGCTCGGATTTAGGAGGCATTCACGCAACAAGCATCTTTGCACTTAAAAACACCAAACACAGCACTCAGGAATGGTTTAAAACAGTCAACTTGCTGCAGTAAACAAAGCCCACAATGCTTGTCCTGCCTTCAAGCTCTTCTTATTGGCCCACTGCGCTAGCACTGAACACCAATGGATTGGTTAATATCAGCTGTCAATCACTCAGTTCCGATGACAGGTTGCTACAGCTGTGAAAAAGTAAAGGTGTGGATCAGAGAGAATGAAAACAACACTGGCAGATTTAGTTTTAGAAACCAAATACAAAAACAAATAATGGCACATCTGATTAGTTAACATGTAATAAATGTCAATCCAGCATGTACACTTTTCTAAGAGTGGATAAAAGACTTCCAGTGTTTGAAGTCTGTTATGAAAATGACTGAAGCATTCACCATAAAGCCGGTGGGATGGAGTTTTCAGGTAAGAGTGTTTGCCACTGACTCTACATATTTTAAGCACGAGATGTTCTAACTTTATTTAATCCTTCATTTAATCGTCACGATGCTGTCAGTCTTGCGACTGACACCACATTCACTATCACTAAAGAGCATGCAGTTATGCATGAAAATAATATTGCAGCTCATGAAAAGACCGTTAAATAATAAGATGATAAATGCAAATAATAAAGTTATATGTCAATATCATCTGTGCAATATTACACACAACCCGTGAGAACACAGTTTATTATTATTAATTCAGTTCATCACATCAAGCAGTGCGTGGAGGTCCAGCATGGCTCGAAATGAACCTTTTTGCTTGGTAGCACCGAAAAATTTAGCCAAAATTTAGTCGCACCCACCAATTATGAGCACCGTTACTACAAGTTTTATACAAACAGATTTATTGCATTTGAAATCAACACTAATCAAACTAACAAGAAAACAAAATATATATGCAAGCGTGAGGAAAATATGCCTTAACAAAATCCCGTTATCACAAGAAAATATATTTTTATAA